AAGTTCTTTGAGACGATAAAAATGCGTTAAGAACACTTTAAGTTTTGGGTAAGTAAAAATTATCTGCTGAAATGAAATTGACATTATCACCATGTATACGACGAATACATCCAATGAAGCACAAAAACGCGTTGGAAAGATTTTGATCATATTTTACTTCCTACTAAAATCAATTTCTTCGCAGTCGCGCTGCTCCCTATGGATGGCTATATATGTATATATATATATATATATATATATATATATATATATATATATATATATATATATATATATATATATATATATATATATATATATATATTGTAATAAATTGGAGGTAGCAACGAGCTGCCATGGACCTGAAACCTACCTTTCACGTATTTCGTCTGGAGATAATGCAGATAATGCCTCTTTACAACTTCCTTTATGATAATGGACAAACTGTTCACAAATATGATACTCATCAATGGGTAGGTCAGTAATCTGAGGTAATATCACCTCATCAACACCATACCAGCAGCGACGAGCTCTATATACATTTAAAGAAAAGTTACACTTATAAAGAAAAGTTATAACTTAATTTTGACTTTAATTGCCGTTCAGATTCACTGAATTTTGGGCAAGTGATCGAGAAACTTTATTCCTAAAAGTTGACAGTTTTTGTTACGCAAGAAACATAAATTGATTAGAAACCTGAATTGCTGTAGAGTAACGTTTTGAAATAGATGTACATGCGAAATACACCAACTAAAACAGCAGGTTAAATGTTAACTTCGGTTGAGCGCTAATCCAGCATGGACAACCGGCCCCAGAAGTTTAAAATATAATTAAGATCTTGGAATTTAGTAATCATAAAAAATGTTCTGTTTTTTATTGGGTCGTATCGATAAATTATTTTTCACAACTTTACATAAAAATTATTTTTTTATTTTTTTTATTTTTTATTTTTATTTTTAATTTTATTTTTAATTATTTTTTATTCATCATTTTTCCCCTGCATGGTAACCGTTTTTATTAATATCGACTGAATTCCGAAACCCTTAAACGATAGACTACCGTTTGTATCATATCACGATTAATATATTCAGTCATCTCATACATATTCATCAACATTTTCCATTCATATAATTATGCGCATATTGCGCATATATACCGGGTGTCCCAAAAAAAAGTACTCCTGTTTGATTCGTAATAACTTCTAAACAAGTAAAGCTTTTAAAGAGAAATAACTTGCATTAAATTGAGGAAGGACTAACTTAGATTTTGATATATTACAGTTGTATTTTACTTAAAAATTCACGGAGATATTAATGTTCAAAATCGGGAGCATATTTTGGGATGTGTCTAAAATTAGCAAAAATCGGCAT